AATTAAAATAAGTTAAGTTAAAAATTAAGTTTATGAAAATTAAATTTTAAAAAGTTAAGTTAAAAGTTAAAATTAACTTAACTTTTAACTTTTTAACGCGTTTATGCCCAGACCTGCGTTTGACCAAGTTCAAATTTTGTAACTGAAATTTTTTCTACTTTTAAACAAACATTTCTTTACTATTATTTTCATTAGTTTCTAAATTTATAAATGTTTGTTACAGATACAGCAATTCTTCAAAAAAATTAAAAATATTGTCCAACATCTGGCTCTGCAGGTTAGGGTAAATTTTGATAATTAATATTAAAATTGTTAATGTTAAGGTAATTTTTTTTTAAATATTATGTTAAATTTAAATTTTTCATTACAGCTAAACATGCCCCTGAATCCAAGGCTCATATTGAGTCATTGCGAAGAAGCATGGACAGAATCAAAGAAGAAGCCATACTAACTAGAGCATTATTTGCTACAAATATTAGTTATGTTAATATCGAAAAAATATTWCAAGAGCAAACTATGACTGATTTACCAAAAATGGATTTATCAAGTTTTATAGATTTTGATGATGGATTGAAAAATGACATTGAATTAATGAAAAATCTAATAAATATAAATTATTTATAATATGTACAATTTATTTTTTAATTCATTTTTTCAGAAATTTTTCATGGTGCTTAATATTAAAAGTTCTGCAAAATTATCAGAAAACCTAACATCTGTTATTCCCAAAATATTGTCGAAACCCGTATATCTACTCTACAGTGCTTTTGGCAGAGAAACTAATGGAGACATGGAGTTAAGAAATTGAATTTTTCTTATTTTTCTTATTATTATTTTTACTTTCTAATACAGAATAATGTCAAAGTAAAATCATTATATTCATTATTTTATCATGAAGTTTGAGATTTGATACAGTTAAATATATGTATATTATCTGAAGAAAATTGTATTTCTAAATCTAAAATTGTAAATATTGGTAGAGTACTAATTGGGGGTACTGACCAACAATAATAATAGGCTATAGGTAGTTTTGTACAGAATAGTGTAATAGTTATAATAGTTATAATAGCCAAATTTATGACAGTATAGCAGTCCAGTAGGRAAATTGTTATTATACCAGTATTACAACGGTAATGTATGTCAGTAATGSTCAAGTATAGGAAATCCAGTAGGTATAGTCAGTAMTGTGTCTTTATTGAACGTCAGTACTGGCCAAGTACTGAAAATCCAGTACAGAAAAGCGTTATGATCTCAGATATATGCCATTACAGGTACCAGTATTGGTTGCCAATAGTGGGCCATTACTAGTTAGTACTRATACAGTACTGTGCCTGTTGTAAATTTCCKATAGTATAATATAATATCATTCAATATTTTCGTTTAATGGATATGCTGRTAAGTAAGCTCAAATATCATATACACCATCAGTAACGGCTGACCCGGCATATTTGCTCTTTTTTTATAATCTTACTATTATAATATTACTTTATTATATTTGACGTGTGGACAGCGGCGGCCGTTACACACTACAGCTTATATAGGTAATAGGCAATAGACACAAATAGTGTTAGGGGTTAGGCTCGCCCGGACTTACAGTGAACCTAGCGAATAATTCTTGAAATATTTACAAAGTTGGGACAGGCTACTACTATACTTCATATTATATGTTGAGAATCTTGTTCTTTTTATTCGTGCGTGTAAGTAAAACGTCCCGCTTTTAAGTCAAGTTATACCTACACTAGTCGTAGCCATGTGTGTATACAATGTTTTATGTTCGTAAAAAATAGTGGTAGAATTTAGATATACGTTTTGACCACGATTTGTTTTGTGTGATAGGTAGTTACAATTAGGTAAAATACGAATAGTTTTGTGAAAAATATTGAACGTTTACTTAACGTGGTATAGCACATACTAGGTGTCTAGTTATTGTATATCTTTTGTTTAAACATAGATGTTAAGAGTATATATTACATAGTACACATATATACCTACTATATTATCATATAAATTAAAAACAATTAAAAATATTTTGTCTCTTTAAACGTTTTCAATTATAGTCCTATCAGGGATTATACGTTATGGATAGCGACGTATCTATAAATAAATTCAACATATTGCAAATGTGTGTGTACACTGTGTACTGCGTAAGGTGGCGACAATTTTAAAAACAAATTTGTGAGTCTTTTAACRGTGTCGAATGCGAGGAAATTTCAATGGACTTCATGCGTATATAACAAAATAAATTAAAAACAGTAGGTATTTACAAATTGCGTTATGCTCACGTCCTAAATTTATGCATTTGTGATACTTGTGATGATATATATTAAACTATTTGGATTATTAAATAGTCTATCAACATTCTTTTCTGACTCTTATAAAAGAACGAATGTTTGAAAAATATAACAAAAACAATTAGGAACTGGCCAGAATAAACTAAGGAACTTAAAAAAATTGGCAAAACCCGTTGGTGGTCTAGGGAAAAAGCATTAAAATGAACCAATGAAAATCTTGAGTCTTTTAAGCTAATGGCTATTGGGAATAAAATGCTGATGGAAATGGATAATAATATTATAATAAATGCAGTTAGTGAAAAATCTAAGCTACTAATGCTAMTATCTAAATTATTACCATAAATGTATAATTCTTTTTTTTTATATAATTTTGAATAATTTATTAAAGGTATTGTTTATARTTAATATATTTTTTCATTATATATATATATTATATATATAATATATAGGTATGTTTGTCACTTATTAAGTATATCTGAACTATTAAAACACAATATATAGTAATTAATATTGCGTTTATGTCAAGTTTYAACTATTAAACTAGGTATACTACCTAATAAAATGTTTTCTTGTATTAGTGATGTATTAATATAACACATAAGAAAATAACCTAGTGATTGAAATACTTTTATAGTTTTATTAAAATTGAAAGTATAAATATTATTATAAATAAAATTATATGTATTTATATCATTCTATTGAAATAAGTAAATATATATATATATATTTATCATTGGAGCGCAGAGAGAAAATTTTTTTTGGTGAATGGTGGCTGGCCTGGATAATTTTCAATCTACCGGCCTGAATTTTGTTACTACTCCACCCTTGTTGTTTATCATCAATTATTATATAACTATGGCAGGAAACTATGCGTTTTCGTGCACGTGCCTAATATTATTATAAACTGAAAATAAGCCAATGTTTATTATTAAAATGAAAAGTTTAAAAATTAAAGTCACCTTTTAATATTTAGTGAACGATACGCGAATGTCATTCGTTTTTTTTCAAATAGAACGTGCACATGAACGGCGTTTAAATTTTTAATGAATTTGAAAAAATGTTAAGACGCTCAATTTATTTACTATTTATTATTTAATAAATATATGTATATCATTTAGATACTTTAGAAAATGTATATGATCTAAAGTCTAAATAGTGTTTTTATTTTTGGGTGATGGGTTGAGTCCTATATGTATATGGGTTTTCATATAAACTGCTAGTAAACTATTYATAAACAAAAAATTAGATTTTCTTTTTAGTGACCGTTCCGAACACTGTATTATTATAACGATTAAAACAAAGGCGGAACTTACCGATTAAATGATTGTATCTAACGCCGAACGACTGCAGCAGGACACCGAGGTGAGGCGATTTAACGTGTGAGTCTTCGACGACCAGCCAGTGTATGTCTCTGACCAGCATAAGCGTTTGCGCCAGCCTGGTGAGGTCGGCCACTTGTTCGGGCCGCCGATACGTGGGCGTGATGACGTAAACGGTGCTCGGTTCGACGGTGGTCATCCCGGGGCCACCGCCATAGCCACCACCACCGCTGACGCCGTTACCGAAGACACCACCGCCGACGTTGCTGCAACTGGCGCTGTACACCACGTACCGGGCTATCTGCCGGGAGATGCCCATCAGCAGGTCCCGAGACACGCCAGCGCTCTCGTCCACCACCACCTTGGACAGGGCCATCGACACCAGGTCTTCGGCCACCAGGTCGGGGCGGGCCACTGGCTGGCCCTGTTGCTGCGACCAGGCACCGGACGATTGGTACTGCAACAGCACCACAAACACGGTGCCCATGGCCAACGTCCACAGGATGCGCATCTGTATGGATACGGGCAACATCGCGGTGGACGGGTGCCATTAGTCTGCGAGCCTCCGCGTCCACGCTCTGAAAACACGAAACAACAAAATGCGTCATCATAGGTAATATTATATATTATACGATAGTCTAAAAAACCACCTCATCTCCACCATCCATACAAATCAACACAATATCATCATCATTTGAAACTTTCAACACAATTCACCAGAAAATAATGGAAGAATGGCAGGATTTTTGGGAAAATCTACCTCTTACCAATAAATTAAGAAATGTAAAATTATTTATAAAAACATTAGGTGGGTTTATTACATAACACTATGTACATTGTACATGTTATAATCATGTTTCTTCCTGAGTGGAGCGAAGTAATATTTGTTRTTATACTCGTATTTTTTTGTTGAGCGTGTTTTATTAGTAGAAAATTTGTTACGTTCAATACTTTTAGAAGGTCATGATCGAAAATTCTATGTACCTACCTACCTACTTGGCCTATACTTTACCAAATAATCAAGAAAAAACAATTGAGAAAACACGTGATTTTTATTACTAGTTTTTAACTTCATTGATTTATAATAAATTTGAATGCGATTTAACAAAATCAAATGACCGTAAAGGATGCACGATTTTACAAAATAATTAGAGCTAATATCGGGCTATTTATAGATATTTAAAGAATTTTCAAACAAACATTTATTAAATCATCAGTATTCATCACCCATATTAACAAGTTAAGCTATTATAATTTTTGTGTTAGTCACATATTTTTGTTACGCCCTGTATATTCATTATACATATATATATATATATATTTTTTTTTTACTATTCCATAATATCAATTCTTTTTTATCTGCTTAAAAAATGATTAACTGCAATCAAAAATATTACAAATAACAAAACAAATTTAAACTTTTTCGATTATTGAATTGTCTACTTATGTATTAAAGTTTTTGAAAATGATAAAGAAGTTAATTTCAAATTTACTGAAAGCAATAATAATTTGTTTAACGAGTGCGTTTTTTTATTAGTACCTGTTTAAAGATTATATTTATTGTATGGATTTATTTAAAATCGATTTTATGAGTATATGTCACGCTTTAAAAACGTTTTTTTGTCCTTTATCGAGCGAAGTAATTTAACTATCAATCTTGGTTTTATTATTTTTGCCTTTTTAACAATAAATTATTTTGGTTTATAAATAATCGCATTCTTACATAAAAAGTATTCAGATGACAGAGACAGATCGTCATTAATAATCATTTAATCTGAGGCTCGTTCGTGTTATTAAAATAACAAAACACTAAATGTTTTTGAATACTTGTGGATTGCTCCTGAAAAATCTCATAAACGTGCTGTCCTGTAGTTGATATAAAACATATATAGAGTCMATGAAGCAAATTAAAATTATTTATGAAAAACATAGATTTGTAGTGTATTTACTGTTTAAATATGCTCAATAAAAAAGGAATCACATAGCAAAACACAATAGCCATTGATATTGTTATGACTAATTATAAGTAAAATGCATATTATTACGTCTCTATTTTTGCAGTATACGAATCACGAATGCCATCCGTTTATAATAAAGGAAAGCCTAAATCTATCACCACRCGTTCACACCACTATAGCTAGCAGCATATAAATACGAGTAAGTAGTCACACATTTCTACTTTCATCGTAGGACTTGTGTAAATCGTGGACTTAGTAAGTTACATAAMTGTTTAGTCCTTACATTTTATTTTATTTTTTTGGCTCGTGGATGTCACTAACATCATTCTGATATTGATTATACAACGGTGAGACTGGCATTTAGCAGGATGGTGAAGATGATACTTAGGCAGATYGTAACAGACAGGCAAGTGGTGGATGGTTAGGTTAAAATAATATGTAGTTTAATTTTGTGGGCTGAAGGCCAACTATTCAAGGTGGTTAGAAGCACCCATATATGTATAACGTATATTTAAAATTGCAAATAAACGATACGGAACTAAGTAGCAGTATGTATTCTGATACAGTTTCCATCCTTTCCTTGTTTTTTRATTGGAATGGAAAAAAGGTAGTGTTGCGCTGGGACATTATGTATTGGTTAATTTCCAGTATAAGAAACTATATGATCTCAAACAGAATAACAGAGCTTGCGCTAATGTACAGCGCCTAACCTACAGTTCTAAATAAAAATGTGCAGTCCTTATTTAAATGTTGTGCAGTTCATAAAAATATTATGATTTGAATTTTCAATAATTAGTTTTATATTATGTGACATAATTTATGTCTATGAACTTGTAAGTTGTAACATAGGTATACCATTTGACATTGTGTTTCCTGAATTTATTAGAAATTATGATTAAAACATTGATAATAAATGTTTATCTATGATTATCAAAAGATTAAAACTACGGTCATAAAACAGTTCTAAAACCGTGACCATGACTCGTTACGTTATGCCGCCAAATATTGTGATTGTGTTCAAATTAAGGTTAACTCTATGAATTGTGATGACATATAAACATTTAAAAAAAATAATTTTAACGTGACAATAAGAAGATAAGTTTCAAAAACTGATTGGATTGACAACATTTTTCCGAAAGTCAGGTTTGCGAACACGAAAGTTAAATAATATTTTTTCTAAATATAATCTTCCGTTGCTAAAACTGCCTAAAGTATTTGAAGTTCGATGGTCACAGTTCCTCATACACTCTTCTAAACAATGCATTAGTTTCCTGGTCTTRTTTAGTATAAATATTGTAACCTTATTAGCAAGAATACTTGTAGCCAAACCTCACAGCGYGGATGTGGAGCGTTTAATAAGTGCCAGTAATTTATTAAAGTCTCCATTACGTTCCTCCATGAGTGTTTCAACCGAAAATTTGTACTTTACATACATTATAATATGCCTCCCTTRTATGATTGGAATCCCAACATGTCAATTCTCAAATGGATGAATAGCAAAAAACATAGAGTTATTAAAAGAACAAAAACTAAGCAACAAAATTATTTGAATGGTGTCTTTCCAGATGCTTTTAAGACAAACAAACATCACCAAATGGAAAATAGCGATACTGATGAAGAGATTGTCACCAAAAAAATTAAATTAAATTAAAAGAATTTGTTATTTTAATTGTTAATGTTCATATATTATGACGTATAATATAATATTTTTTTTTTTTTTTTTTAAATGTTTATAATCTATTTATATTGTTAGCTAATCGAATGTTCATGTTATACTATATCATATTTAATTTGTGTTGAATTGAAACTCCTGCGTCCTTTCAAGGCGGGGAGAATGTTCGCGTTTATATGTCATGGTGTTGCATTCGTTGTTGTTTTCGTTTTAGTATTTTCGNTTTTTACTTCTGTAATACAAACAGTATATTATTGTGCAGTTCTAATATTTTTTTAGCGCAAGCTCTGCAGAATAATTTACTTATCCTGTTTTCAAATTTATTACACATTTTTATTATTTATTTCAATGTTTGTATTTTAAAATTATTACTTAAAATAATATATGGTATTTTATTTAATCAATAAATTGTGTCTCTGTCGTTATTCAACTGTATTTCTCCTGACAACCAATACACAGTTAAATAATCGAATGTACGAGTACGCAGTGCCCTGAACGGTATACTATACAAATTAAATATTTATGGTATTATAGTGAACCGGCCATGGGCTACGGGACCACTTAACATAACAAAAACATGTCACAAAAGTCAATTCAATTTTTAGCATATAACAAACACGATCAAATATAGTTATATTATCAGTTGTATGTGTTTCTTTAACATAAAATACTAACTTATTTCAATACTAAAGAAAAATCAAAATATAGGTTATATACTTATATATTATTATAGGTATCTACCTACTAAAAAAAATTTAAAAAATGAGTAACTCGAGAGTATTAATTTTAGTGTATATTTATTTTAACATAGCAAGAGTAAAATAAACTAAAATATAAACATAATATTGTAATATATTATACTCCAAACTTATTTTGAGCTAATGTACGCGACTCAATAAAATTAAAACACAAAAAAAAATGCAACTAAATTATTATTGGTAAAATAGGTTATTAAAATGTATATAATCGGGAAATAGCTATAACGTAACAACGCATCATGGTGGAAAGGAGTAAAGACCATGGTCTCATTCTGGACTCGACAATTCGTTGGGAAACAAATGACCCCCAGCCATGCCCGTATGCATAGTCCTGTTGTTATGTGTCACATATAATTGCTCATGTGACCAATAACTAAGKGGCCAATAATATTTTTATGTAACTCTTAACTATTTTTGTGTACCACATAAATTGTGTCTTGCATAAACGATATTTATGTATTCCATAGTTATGTAAAAGTGTATGTGATAATAACCATTGTTATCAGTGTTACTAAGTTCATATTAGTGAAAATTTGTGAGATAACGAATAAAAGTAATATTTTAAAATTTGTATAATTATTCATATTATTTCATTTTGTTTTCTGATTTAATAAAAATATTATAAATAATGACGAGCAATTCAGAAAAAATACACCAAACACTCCCTCTACAATATTACGGGGTTTGATATGAGCTTTATTATAATTTTTCTCTGCATTTGTTACTGGATTAAGTAAAGGTGTAAATATGTAAGGTTTGCATGCATATCCTAAAGAAATGTATTAATTATTTAATTTTATTATTATTTTTTATTTATTATTAAAAAAAAATATAGTATATATTATTATTATTATCTGGTTAGGTTTTTAAATATTAAATTAAATACTTATTTTTAATTAATAATTAAATAATTTTTAAAAATTAAAGTTAGGTAGGTATTTTACTTGAAAGTTTGCTGTTACATAAAAACGTAATGTTGTCAATAACTGTAGAATGGGAGGTATAGGCAATCCTCGATTATTGTTATAGTGAATACCTAATAAATCTACTAATTGATCCATAACAATAAGTTTTGGAAATTGATAACGTTTCAAAAATGTATTGTCATTGTATTTTTTAAACGGATCTTCCATATTACGAATATACCTTCTTGGAATTTGTTCAACATCAAATTAGTCGAAATATTCATAAACCATTG